AGGCTGTGGTCTCCGTCTTCTGTCAGGGGCTGGATGGGTCAGAGTAACTTGTTTATTTTTAAGCGAAACTCTAATTGAAGCACAGCCCACATAGATGAAAATGTGCAAATTATAAGTGTATGTACAGCTTAATGAATTTTCACAAAGTCAGCATCCCTGGGCAGCCAGCACCAAGATCTAGAAATGGGACATTTTCAGGACCTCCGCCGCCCCCGGGAGCCCCCTTCCAGTGATGTCATCAGCGCCCCCAATAAGGGCACCCTCTCTCCTGGCGCCTGCTTTTCCGTTTTATACAAATGGAATCATACACTGTATTCTCTTCCTTTGGCTTCTTGTGTTTTAACGTTGTGTTCGTGAGGTTCAACCATGTTGCCGTTTGTCCGATTCATTGTTCTCGTGCTGTATGAATGCTCCACGATTGACACGTGGGTTGTTTCCACTTTGGGCTGTTACCGAGTTACCAGGAACATTCTAGCCCCATCTTTCGGTGCACATGTGCACGTGTCTGTCGGGTGGGCACCTCGGAGCGGAATTGCTGGGTTACAGCGCATCGTGCCTACCCACTCCGCCCAGGGGAGCTCCCAGCCAGGTTTCCAAAGGGGTTGTGCAGTTTACACTCTCGCGAGCAGCATGGAAGCATTTCGGCTGCCCTGCATCCCGGTCAGCACGTAGTGGTGCTTGCCCTGTCATTTTGGCCATCCTGGGGGCTGTGATTTCATTTTGCATTTCTCTGACGACTGATACAGCCGGGCACCTTTTTTGTGTTTCCCGACCGTTGGCACACCCTCTGAATCAACGTGTTCCTGTTTGCTCTAGTTTCCGTCCTAGTTTACCTTTATTCTGGGCTCCTTGGGCTAATGAGAAAAAATAGGGGGGCCTCCCTGAAGGGTTTGGGCAAGAATCCTTTGCCTGGATGTGTAGCCCCAGGGGTGGAAGATCTAAGAAGCTGGGGGCGTGGGGAGGCTCGGGCGTATGTGCTTCTGAGCCTCTCGGGGGCACGCGGACCTGGTCCCTTTTCCCCACAGCCTGATCTTCCTTAGGGTTCCTTTGTTCCAAGGCCCAGGGTGTGAGAAACACAGCGAGGTTTTGCCCACAGGGGGCCTCTGCTGTGATGAGGGTGTTCGCAGGGCAGAGTGTAGTTATGGACAGATGAGCAGGCGTCACACTCAGGGTCTGAGCCGTGAGGACAGCTGCTCGGGGAAGGTGGGGATGGACTAGCAGGAGCAGAGAGGCTGGGACAGATGGGGACGGTCCCTGGGCAACTGCAGGAGGCTGGCTTGTCGTTGGCTGTAAGTGACCTGGAGGAGCCGGGTCGGGGAACCCGGGAGGCCTGTCCCCACCTCTGTGTCCGTCGCCCGCAGCACATGTATTGGACAATGCTGCAGCAGCTCACTCACCACTCTGTCAATGGCTGCAACCTGCGGCCCAGGGACCTCTTGGCTTCTGGAACCATCAGCGGGCCGGTGAGTGTCGGATTGCCTTGGGGAACTGCCCACTCAGATAGAGCTCCCCTTCTCCCCACACAGACCGTAGGGCACTCAGCCCACCCCCGAGAAGGGGTTCCAGCCCCAGGCAGGCATGTCTGACAGCTCTGTCCTACTCAGCTTCCTGCGTCTCTGTGCACAAGGGGCTTCCTTTCCAAACTCAGCTAGAGGCCGGCATAAGTGGGAGGCAGCATCTGTCTTCCAAGGGAGAGTCAGAATGACATGTGGGGATAGTCAGGAAACGGCCAGTGTGTGGTTGTCACCGCCTCACACTGCGCCCTCCCAGGTTGAGGTGGCCCCCCTGCTGTGGCCTTGCCCTCCCCCCTGTGCCACTGTCAGCCCGTGGCAGAATCTCAGAACCTTAAGAGATGATGATTTGGGGGTGTATATGCCCGTCACTTCCTGTGAGGTCCTGACTGCAGCCTGTTGTTCCGAGTGGGAGGGATCCGGCATTCCCCCAGCCCTGAACAAAGCGGGCAGGGTGCCGAGGCTCGAGCGCATGGACACGGTCTGTGAGGGGCTCCGGGGTACCCCACCCAAGCAAAGGGCTCCCCGGCCTTTCTGCACACTGTCTACACCGGAGTGGACAGCCTCACCAGCAGGTAAACGATGTGACGCTCTCTTCCCTTTCCTGTTATGAAGGAGCCAGAAAGCTTTGGCTCCATGTTGGAGCTGTCATGGAGGGGGACGAAGGCCATTGACCTGGGGAGCGGACAGAGCAGGAAGTTCCTGCTGGACGGGGATGAAGTCATCATAACAGGTGAGGGCAGCCAAGCCTGCGGCTTCATCTCCTTGCCTGTGTGCACTGTCCCGTCGCTGCACAGCCATCTGTCCTCCTCAGTCCCACTCTGGTCTTCCCAGGGCTACTCTGCTTGCTGTGTCTTTCACCCCAGCTACCGGGACTTTAAATTTCACTGTCCCAATACCACGGAAGTCCCGCTTTGTCCCCCTTCTCTCTGAGCGAAATGGTAAAATCATGGCAGGTTCCCATCATTCTGGGCTCTGCAGTGCAGATAGCCTGTGTCCAGGCATCTACTGCGCCGACTGTAAGCGGGGAGGCAGGGGCCAGCTTTGCCCACCAGGACGGCATGTGGGGAAGTGAGATGATGTAACTGGAATTTGCATGCGGGAAGCAGGCGGTGCTGTTCAGTGGGTGGTGGTGCTGGTGCAGCTCCAGGGCGGAAAGCAAGGATGAGGCTCCAACGCTATCACAGGGCTTCTTGGTCCCGCGCATGGCAGCATCGCTGAGCAGACGCAGCACACGCATCTCTCGCCTGGGTCTCCATGCCTTAGCGCGTGCCGTTTCCTCTGCCTGGCCTGCACTGTTCATCGTGTCCTCCTGGTGAACTCCTGACCACCCACCCACCCCTCAACTCCCAGCTCCAGTGTTCCTCCTTTCTGCTCCTGTGCCCTCCACGCTGCTCTCTCAGCCCTGCAAACATGTCTCTAATGCTTGTCTAGACAGGCTGGACCCTCCTCGTGGGGACGAGCTCCTCCCCCTTTCTGCCTGTCCGTCACTTTTGTGGAAATGGGTTGAATGAATGACAGTGACGTTTGTTGAACATCTGCTCTGTGAGAGAGAGCATGCTAGGGCTTCCCCCGACCCCGAGAGATAAGGATGGTTATTCCCGTTTGCAGGCGAGGGCCTGAGCTCAGAGGTGAGACTGGCTGCCCCCATCACCTTCTTACCATCGTTGTGATAACTGATATTTATTGAGCATTCGCCATGGGCCAGGTGCTGTTCTCGGGGTTTTCTGTCTGTTAATTTATATCATCTTTATGACACTCCCACGCCGTGGGTACTATTGTTAGACCCATTGCACAGATGAGGAAACTGAATTTAAGGGGTACCCAAGGTCATGGGGCCAGTAGGTGGAGGAGCCAGGCTTTGAACTCAGGCAGTCAGGCTTCAGGCTAATTAGCAGTCCTGGGATTTGAACCCAAACCCACGTGGGGAGCGTTGACCACCTGCCTGGAAAGTCATAGAGCACCCCTGGGGTGCTTCCGAGAGCCCCTGACTGTGGAGTGGGTCCTGCGGCTCTGCCCGGATTCTAGAGGGCTGTCCTTCTGTCCAAACTCCATGTCTGTCATTCTGGCGGCGCTTTACTGCTTCGGGCCTGGCTGTGTGACGACCAACACCACGGCTGCTGGGACGTTGATTCCTGCGAGCCCGGAGGCCTCCTGCTGACCCCTGTCCCCCTCTGTTCCAGGATACTGCCAGGGAGACGGTTACCGCGTCGGCTTTGGCCAGTGTGCCGGGAAAGTGCTGCCTGCCCTCTCACCAGCGTGACATTGTCTCTGCTCTCCTGGGAACAGGGGGCTGGGCCCCCACCCGCCCCTGGGGACCAGGGAACCCCTCTGTGGCTGTAGGCCGGTCTTCCGACTATAATAAATAAAGCCCTGTGGTCTGTCTCCACTTTTGGAGCCCTGCACTGTCGTGGTGCGACGTCCCCTCATGTTCTTGAATTAACTCAGTTGGTCAAGGTGGTACCGCTTCCTTGGGAGACCGTCAACAATTTGTTTCCTCAGCTTTGTTAGTGAGGGTCTGGGTGGGGCCTCCCGTATCCCCTGGGATTGGAAAGAGAATCGCACCCCTGCTAGTCAGCCGGGGTCCACGGACAAGCAGAACCAATGGGGTGTGTACACAGAGAGAGGTTGAGTTTGAGGAACTGGCTCATGGGCTGGAGAGCCCTGCAGGTCCAGTCTGCAGGGCGGACGGCAGGCTGGAGACCAGGGAAGGGTTGCAGTGCGAGTCTGGGGTGGTCTGCTTCTTCCAGGGAGGAAGAGGACGCTAAGATCTGTTGGTGGGGAGGAACCCCAAGAGCCCTCTAGGTGGCCTGCCCATCCTGCCTGCTGTGTCCTGGGAGGGTGGCCTCTGTGGACGACACCACCCAGGCTCACTCCCTCCGGCTTCTGGTTGGGATGGGGCAGTGGGGGCTCAGGCAGGAGGGGAAAAGCCTCAGTGTTTTGTTTTCCTCACTCCATCCCTGCTGGGCTGTGATTTGGGGTGGCCGTGTCCCACTGTGTCCCCCTCCGTCTGGCCCAACAACCCTTGCTGGATTCTGGTACCTCTGTTTCCTCCCCACACAAGGGGTGGTCATGGGTTCTCGTTGTCATCGGTTCTGGACTATTCCCCATCCCTTTCTGGCTTTCTGAACCCTGGCTACACTTCTGAAAAGAGTCCCTAAATTAAACCCTTTTGAATTCACCCCCTAAGAATGTCCTTGCTTCCTGACTAAAAAAGCAGTTGGCACCAGGATTGGCCTCAGGAAACAGATTCTTAAAAGCAGGTTCTGGAATTGATTCTGTCACCTATTTGATGAGCGCAGAGGTACCCTCCTTGCTGAGGGAAGTGGGGCGCTAATAGCCTGAGGCATGTAGTGTTGTCACAATTATCAAAGTGTTGCCAGTGGTGGCAGAGGACGGAGTGCAGGCTGAGAGCCAGGCTTCAGGAGACAGTGGCTCTTAGGTGTCGTGGGAATATTGAAGATTTTACAGGTTCAAGGCGGACCGACTGCCGTTGCCCTCGACACACAGGGAAAGGGAAACTCCAGACCTAGAATTCATAAGCGAAGCCTCAGCTGGAGAGTCAGAGGCACATGTGCAGCGGTCAGAATGCTTCTCTTAGCAGCTGAACAGACATGGCTAAGGGTCTCGGCCGAGGTCTGGGTGGCTGGGCTGCTAGCCAGTAAGCTGTGTGTGAAGCTCTCTTCGCTAGGGTAAGGATGGTGGTTAAGAGGGACCCTGACCTGAGGATGGGGACACGTGGGCAGGCACAGATGAGGCTGACACCACTGAACCCAAGATTGCATTGGACCTTCCTGGTCAGTGGAAACAGCCCTTCACCCCTGTCTGAGGGAACCAGCCTCTGTCCTAAAACCTTTCAGTGACCACCTGGAGCAGGTGCAGGGTCCACCCTCCCACACACCTTAATGCCTCCAGGACCCTAAGAGTCAGATCCCAGCACCGGCCAGAGGGAAAAGTGCAAGGTCCCCGGCACCGACACTGCGCTTGGCTGTGTCCTCAGCCGTCCCCACTGTCCCCCGCCCCCCAAATCCTCTTGTCCTTGATGGCCATCAGCTAAGACCCTCCATCCCACCTGGGGTGTTTCTCTTTGGGACCTGGGTCAGCCAGTGTCCTAGCAGGGAAGACATGCCCCTCCCCCCACCCCAAAGTATGACTGAGGAGGGTTTAATGGGAGAATATTTACAGAGTTTGGAAGGCGCTAAGGGATAGCGAACCCCTGGGGACAGGTCACCATGTGAAGCCATTACCACCTCTACGTGAAGTGACAATGTGACCACAGGTGGATGATCAAAGCACCTGCCCCAGCTCCAGCCCAGCAGGGCCAAGGAGCACCTTGACCTCTGCCCCTGCCCTCTGGACACAGCCAGCCTGTCTTCGTGTTGTTTGAACAGAATGGCTGGGCCTGTGGGCGTGGACCCAGGAGCTCAGCTGAGCACCTTTTGGCAGACTGGGCCACAGAGGGCACTGCGTGTCCCCCGTCATCCACAGCAGGACCGGTCAGCAGCGAGGCCGCGGGGGCATGCAGCCGCACCAGTGGACACACAGGCTTTGCAATGCCCTCTGCCTGCTGTTTGCATGCAGCCCCTTTGGATCGAGCCAGCCTCTGGCATTTGGGGACAGCTTCATGGCAGAGGGACACATGGCTCTTTCAATTCAGTAAGGACATGCAGACATGCAAGCGACTCGCTGGGAAAAATGAAGTAGAGATGACAGGCCCTGATACCCCCCACATCCTATCCTGTCAGCCTATCTGAGCATCTGCAGGGTCACATTTGTCCTAGTGACTCATGCTCACCTCCTGCTTCTGCCGGGTCTGCGACCTCGCGTCCCTGGGACTGCTGTCCCTTTCCAGATTGCATCCCTTCACTTGCCCACCTCCCAGATGCCGTAAGCGTCCCCACATACCACTGCCACGAAGTGGATTGTGTATCAGACTTTACTGAGGGTCTGCATCAACAGAAGGGGCTGGACAGGGCACCGTGCAGGCAGCTTCTTAAAACTGGCCGCAGACACCACTGTCTGGACAGTCCATCATCCGTTCCCTGGGGCAGGGAGTCCCTTTGTGGCCACATTTTCCCTGAAGTCCTGGAGCATGGCCAACCTCCCAGGCCTCTCTGAGTGCTTTTCACTTCCTCTCTGCCAGCTTCCCGTCTGCTACAATTCTATTCATTTCTTTTGCTGGACAGTTTCTCTCTCCATCCACAGCCCCGAACTTCATGTCAGATAGCCAGAGGCTGGTGAAGGCGCTCTGGTCATAAAGGAACATCTCCCTCCTTGAGCAGCATATAAAGCATCAGCGGGGGCTTGAAATTCCAGTGGTACCCCCCCCCCAATACCATCGAATTCTTAGGTCTTTCTCCTCCTTGTGTCTCTTAGGTGGAGGGTGTGCGGCTTAAATACTTGTTCTCCATTGTGCTGAGCAGGCTCCCAGGGGTCAGCATATCCGTCTTTACCTTTCTTTTTCCTCTTGCTGCATGGATCATAGGAAAAATGACAGCAACCCAAGCACTTAGTAGGAGCCTGGATAATTATGCACGTGCTCTAGGCGGCATGGTTGATAACCCCTGAAATGATGACTGGGAAGACTGTAGCAGAAACACGCTTAGGATGTAATTTTAGGAGAAAGTATGTTTTAAATTATGTAACAGATAGCCTTTATGGGGGGAAAAAATCTTGCATATGGACAAGGATTTGAAGGGAACATACCAACACACAATGAAAATCACCGTTTTGTTGGAGACTTGGGTGGAGAGTGATTTTTAAATTTTCTGTCCTTTCCGAAGTGTTGTGTCCCCTTTCAACAACAGAAAAAGAGCGAAGATAGGGTGGGAGCCAATCTAGGTTTAGAAAGGAATTATCGGGACAATGGGACCCCAGGGCAGTGCCTCTCAGCCATTCGTGTGCATACAGATCACTTGGTGGGTCTTGCTGGTAGATTCTGGGCCCCACCCCAGAGATTCTGCTCCTCTAGGTCTGGAGTGGGGCCGTGATTTTGGATTTCCAACAAGCTCCTCAGTGTTGCAAATGCTGTTGGTCCTTCGTCACCATTTGAGCAGCGGGTCCGAGGGCATCCTGGTTTTCACTACTGAGAGTTCCAACGCATCTCCAGGTGAGGTCTTCAAGACCTCTCTCTCTGTCCCTTGGGATCTGCCACCAGCTGGTTGGGAGCTGGTTCTGATGTACAGACATTGTCACTCCACGCTGATGGGCTTTTCCCAGAAGTGCTCGGTATTTCTGAGGTAGGCTGCAGAGTGAAGGCTGCTGCGGGGCCTGAGGCAGTGCTCCAGGTCCCTGCTCTCGGTCCTTTCCTGATGCAGAGCCTCCAACGCATCTTGGTCCACTGCCTTTACCAGCTGTCCCTTTGTGACAGTGCTTTGGAAACCTGTTTCCCCAGTGGCCTGGGTTGGAGTGGGACCCATGGCTGGGACACAGGTTGGTGGGAAGGGAGTCTTGAGCTTCTTCACAGCTGCAGGTCTCTTCTGGCGGCCAGCAGGCCATGCCTTGGACGGGTGGGATGAATGCATTCAGAGGAAGGGGCATTCGGGCGGTCTTGTTTAACTTCAAAGTGTATATGAATACTGATGACAATGACAATTGCGTAAATTAATAGACACTGTATCCCTTGAGATCAGGTGCTGAGAGAGGTTGCTGTGAGCATTCCTCTGACTGGGGTCCTGGCTGGGAGGTTCGGCCTGTTGGAAGTAGCCTGTAGGAAACTGAGGACAACTAGGGTTCCAGGCTCTACGGTGGCGGGGGGGGGGCACCCAGAATCTCGGCTCCTCCCCTCTCAGACCCCTGGCTTCTGGAGTGTCAGAATCAAGAAAGGACACTAGGTTTGCCTGTGTTCTTTCATTTCATCCTCACAACCACCTTGTGAGGTAGATGTCATTCCCCCACTTGGCAGATGAGGAAATTGGGGCTCAGAGAAGGTGAGTGATTCTTGGGGGTCATATAGCAAGGAAGTAGAGGAGTTGGGACTTGGGGCCAGGCTTGTGGGCTCTGCTCTGACGTCATAGTAGGTGACGGGGTGAGAGGTGGGGTGGATCGTAGGGAAAAGAGGGCACAGGGAGTCCCCAGGAGACCCCTTCTCACCAGCTCAGTCCTCGCCCGCACCCACCTATGGCACATTTCATTTAAGCAGCCCCCTCCTGTCCTTTCATTCCCGTGAGGTCTACACACAATAGAACGGGCAGGGCTTTTCCTTCACGTGGTCATGTGAGGGAACTGAGACACCAAGAGGTGAAGGGACCTGCTCCCAGTCACACAGCCTTTGAGTGATTACAGGGCTAGAACCCTGGTCTCCCCATCCAATATGCATGTTATAGACTCTCAAGAGGTTACTGGGTGGAATAATTTTGTGCGAGGAAAAATGAGCAAAATCAATAAATGTGACCAAAGGAGATGATTATTAAGCTACGACCTAGCCACCTGGTGGGACTCTGTGTAGCCAGCCACGAGCAGGGACGGCCGTGAAGGGGGTCTGGCGGAATGCTGTACACGGATGATACAACATCGCGCATGCGTCGCGAACGTGACTATTTAAAAAAATATGTGTGAAAAAGGCTGGGAGAAAGTATTGCAGAATGGTGACTTCTGGGAGGTGGGATTATAAGTATTCTTTTCCCCCGTTTCCTTCTATTTTTCTGCATTTTCCCAAATTTCTAAAATGCTCATCTCATTTTTAACAGGAAAAATATACCCCTCTTGTTTAAAAAAATACGGCTGGGAAGCAGCCCTATGCCCTGTGTGAGATTTCTGGTGAGGCCCCTTCCATCTCCCTTCCGGCTTTGCCACCTGCTGCGCCAGTGGCCCATGGGGAGGCGGGGTCCGGTGGGACGCCTGTGCCGGGAACACCCAGGGCCAGCCCATGTGCTAGTTTGAATTTTAAGGGCAGGAGGTCTCCTCAGGACGAGACCACTGTGGTGTGATGGTGCGTGTCTGTGCTGGGGCCTGGGGAGGTGACCGCCCCATAGTCACAGTGGTTCCTGGACTGGCCATGGCAGGAACGCTCACAGCACCCCGAGCCTGTCACTCTGGTGCTCGTGGGAGAGGAAGCGAGGCCAAGTTGAACGTCCTCCCTACCCCCGGGGGCCTAGTTCGTTCCTCGTGTCTAGGGGCTGGCAGGCCGGTGGCGTATCCTGGGAGGCCGGGGGCGCATCCTGGCAGGTCGGTGGCGCATCCTGGCAGCCCTGCGACCACGCCTCAGTCATCCAGGTGCTGCTCTTCCCAGGTGGACGTGGGGATGGCGCTGTAAGGGTCCATGATGACCTTGGCACAGCGGATAATCATGACAATGAGGAAGAGACAGAGGAAGACAAAGCAGGCCAGGGTCAGTCCTTTGTCCACGTCCACGTAGACGGGCTCGGGCGTGGGCTCCTCCATCTCGCGGCGGCAGCGGCTGCGGCTGCGGCTGCGGGCTCCTCGTCCGGCTTGGGGTTGGCTGGTACCATCTTCCACCCCTGCGGAGAGCCATGCAGTAGGCAGGTAGGGCACCAACCTCCCTTCTTACCTGTCCCCCTGGAGTGACAGCTTGGTGCTCTCCTGCCCTCCACGGAACCACCATCACTATGACCAGCCCTGAATTCTTGGAACATTCTCACATCGAGTTAATTGTGTGATCCTCACAGCAGCCCTGGGGCCAAGTTAGCCAGGCATCATATGCCCATCATATAAATGTGGAAACTGAGACCCAGAAAGGGGCAGTGACTTACCCAAGGTCCCACATCCCAAACCCTAGGCCTCTGCATGCCTCCCCCTCCTCTGCCGGAAGCAGTGGGGACCCATGTGCCCTACCCACTCCGGAGCTGCAGAAGGACACCTGTGCAGGCTTTGGGCCGGCGGGTCCTGGAGTCTCTGTAACCACAGGGGACCATCCCCTCGCTCAGACCTCGTCTTCCTTCTCACCCATTCCCAGCGGGCACTGACCTGCTGGTCGGAGTGGTCACCACTTCACAAGGGCCACTGGGTGGGTTGGCAGCCTGGATCGGGTCGCTGCACGACAGATGGGGGGATGGCTGGGCATCGCAGCTGGGAGCCAGGAGAGCAGTGTGCTTTCACTCAGAGAGTGGGCACGGGCACCGACGGGGCTGAAACAGAGCAGGACAGCAGGAGGCAGTTACTTCCCAGGGCGCCCTTCCCCACAATGTCACCTGGCCTGGCAAGAAGGATTGGCCCGCACAGCTCCTCGCTGGGCACAGTGTGGCGAGCTGCCACGCTTCGTTCTAATGCTGCCCCTTCTTCCTCTCTCTCTGGTTAAAATGATAACGTTTAAACAAGGTTTTGATAAAACATGTAAAACATAAAATGCATCATCTGAACCACTTTTAAGTGTGCGGTTCAGTGGCATTAAGGGCACTCACGTTGTTGTACGGCCGTCACCACCGTCCATCTCCAGAACTTTCCACCTTGCAAAAGTAAAACCCAGTTCCCCCTTCCCCACCATTCTCCTTCCTGTCTCTATGAGTTTGACAACGCAGGGTCCCTGAGACAACTGAAATCATACAGTACTTGTCTGTTTGTGACTGGCTTATTTCAGCATAACGTCCTCAAGGTTCATCCATGTTGTGGCAGGTGTCAGAGCATCCTTCCTTTTTAAGGCTAATATTCCACTTGTATAGATGGACCACGTTTTGCTTATATAGTCCTTAGGTGATGGGCATGTGGGCTGTTTCCCCCTTTCGTGGATATGGGTGTACAGATATCTCTTTGAGACCCTGTTTCAACACTTTTGGGCACACATCTAGAAGTGGAACTGCTGGATCTTATGGTAATTCTATTTTTTAATTTTGCGAGGATTACATTGAACATTTTTGTATACACAGTTGTACACAGTTCAAACTTTTAAAAGTTGTAACAGTGAAAAGCAGTTTTATAACTGGATCCCCAGTGACCCAGCTCATCTCCAGAGACAACCACGGTTAAGAGGTCCTCACACATCCTTCTGATGTGTCTTATCTCTTCAGATTTTCCCTTCAGCTCTGCTTTTCAGTTGTGGAATTTCCATTTGATCCTTTAAAAAACGTTCCATGCCTCTAGAGAAAATTTCCACCTTGTTACCTATTTTCTTAAACGTATTAATCACAAATTTTTAAAGACCACATTTGAGAATCCCGATGTGTGGATTGTCGTCTGTGGGTCTGCTTCTATTGCTGATTCTTTTTTTTTTTTAAAGATTTTATTGGGGAATTGGAGGAGGGGAACAGTGTTGGGGAATTGGGGAGGGGGACCAGCCAAGTTGTTGTTCTACAATCTTCGTTGTGGAGGGCGCCAGTCACCATCTGGCTTCCTGTCGGCAGCACGTGGCCTCTAAGCCCAAGGTGCTGTGTTCAGTCTTAGTTGCGGGTGGGCGTAGCCACCGTCCCATGCGTTAGTCAGAACAACAGCCTTGTTGTTAAGAGCGCACACTCTATCCACTGAGCCATCCTGGTGGCAGCTCAGCTCAAGGTGCCGAGTTCCATCTTAGTTGTGGGTGGGCGTAGCCCACCATCGAACAGGCAATCTTGCTGTTACACCAGCTGAGCCATCCTGCCACCTGTTGGCAGGTCAGCGACAGCTCAGCTCAAGCTCAGTGTCACTGGCCCATGTGGGAATCAAACTGGCAGCCCTGTTGCTCAGAGCTCGCACTCTTAAGCCAACTCTTAACCAACTGAGCCACTTGGCCGGCCCTGATTCTTTTTCTTTTGATTCAATGTATTGATGCACCTGATAAAAACCTCTCTGGGATACTGGGCAGTTATATTGGCTCTGGATGGCGTTATCTTTGTAGAGAGGGTTTACCGCGTGCTCTGGTAAGCAGCTCGGGTTCAGGCAGGTCACCTGACCGAACATGGAGCTGAGCTCACTCAAAGTGGGCTCTGCTTCTTGTTAACAAGACTATAGCGCCTGTGTCTGCTGTGACAATGCCGCTGCGGTGTTGCTCTCCAGGGTTCTGAAGTGAGAACCCGGGATGTTTACTGGGGCCATTCCCTCTTGGCATGTCTTGAATTGTAGTTTTGCTCCTCGGTGCTTTGAGACAGATGAAAACCGTGTGAGGTAAACTACTCAGGATTATTCAGCAACTGCTGTTTGATTGTGTGCTGTACAACATGAGAGGATGAGACTGAAACATTGGTCGTTTGCCAATAGCCTTTAATGATTACGTGGAAGCCCAGGCCTGAAGAGGTGCACATACGTGTTTGGTCAAATTTCCGTTGCTCTTTTGCTTGGGGTTTTGCAGGATGTTTATTGTAGCATTGTGGTAACAGTGAAGAGCTGGGAACGAACTGAACATCTTGTCAATATGGAACGGTTCAAACAGCCATGGTGTATCTGTGTCATGGGGTACGCTGAAGTATGTTAACACACACACACACACACACACACACACACACACACACACCGTCTAGGAAATTTTGTTAAGTGGAAAAAATAAGTTGAGGAACAAAACTCCAAATGTGATGTGATTTCTGTAAAATACAAAGAAACTGTAAATTTCAGTATTGTACATTTGCATGTGCTGGGGTGGGAGATGAGTTTGCCCGACTCGCGGCCAGGTCAAGACTGGCTCCTGCTCTAACTGTTGGAGAAATTTAAGATGTCGCAAAGTACTAACGGTAACATCACAAGCGCCTGCACTTATGCTGTGCAGAATTTGCAATTGTTACCTGATCCTCTTTGCCTGGTCTTTCCCTCTTCCTTAACTGTATCCTCCTTCGGAACCCCACTTCCTCCCACCCTCGCCAGCAGTAGGAGTATCTGGAGGGTCGTCTGCCGCATCTGTCTCGCTGGGTTCCTTGGACCCTACTTTCAAAACATGGACCTTGTCCCCTTCCCTCCATTTCATAGATGAAGAGATCAGAACACAGGGGATAGAGGGGTTTTCTCCGTCTCAGAGCAACGGCGCAGCTGCGCTTGGAGCAAACCCATGTTTCTGACCCCAGCCTTTCGGCCTTGGGGCCTGTGGCAGCGGTCATTGGTGGCTCTCAGGGAAGCAGAAATGGGCTGGAGTTTCACAGCAGGACTCAGCCAGGCCTCTTAAACCCCGACTGTGAACTGCCAGGTCCAGGGTGTGCCATAAGTTCACATGGGATCCCCCCCGCAGATGGTAGAGTCTGACCCAGAGGGCCTGCCTGGGGACCCTCCCCTGTCTTGTCTGAGGCAAGGACAGGGTCCTAAAACCCGGTGGCCTACCCCAGAGGAAGATTATCAGTGTTTTCCAGATCTTGTGGCTGGGGCGGATGCCAAAACTTGGGAACTCAGAGAACAGATTCGCCTCCCCGCCCTCCAGACCGAGTGTGCTCATTAACCTTCACTACCAGGCGGGCACCGGTCCCCAGCTCCATTTCAAAGTGAGGACACGACACCCAGGAGGGGACGCAACACCAAACCTGGCTGCCGCTGCCCTGGGAACAAAGGGGCTGCCTTCCCGGCGGCCAGCCCAGCGGTCCCCCTCCCCCCGACAATGCCTGCATGATCCTGCAGCACTGAGACTGCACAGGCCACGTGCTCCATCTGCAGCTTCTTGAGGTGGCTGGACGTGAACTGGCTTCTGAGTCAGGGATGCTGGCCTATCTGGGCAAGTGAGTGACCCCCAAGGGAAATGGCTGCTGGGCCACGTGTGAAATGGCATGTGTGAAAGTGTGCAGTTTCAGAGCCAAGCAGACAAGGCCGTGAGGCAGAACATGCAACCTTTGTCACACACGGAGGCCAAGAGCCTGGACTTGTAAAAGGATGTCTTCTGTGACTACATATTGCAGCTTCCATCTGCCAGCCCTCGGCTTCTTTCAGCCCCCTCCTCCTCACTCTGGAAGGAGGCTGTGCGAAGCGTACGTGCCCATGGCTCTTGCCCTGCCAGCCGGAACAGAGATCGGTCACCACAGCCAGCAGGGCCTGGCCTTGCAAGTCACCAGGGCTGCCACGGGGGCCTGGCCATCAGGGGCTGCTGTAAGCCATTCCAGGCTGGTTGATGCAGTTAGATTTCTACAAGGTGCGGTGGGCGTTACACGGCAGACAGTGGCCACACGCGTGGAGCCACGACACGTGGCCACCCAGGGAATGCCCTCTGCCTGCTGTCACCTGGGCCTGTTCTCTGGACCAGGCCCAGGAGTCCTAAAAGGGGAGACATGGGGAGCCTTTTGGGGGGGTGAGTGTGAAGGGCGAGGGTGGGTGGAATCCTAGAAGGCAGAGTCTTCACAGCGGCAGCAAACGCCTTGGACAAGAGGCCAGAGCTGTTCTCTAGGACGAGGCGGTAGTGACGGTGTTGTCACCTTCCTTCCTTTCCTGCAAAATTCTGGGTGCAGAAGCATCTCTGTCTTTGACCCCACGAGTGAATAGTGCCTCCCACCGGACAGCCAGCGAGACAGGTAGACGTGCAGACTTGGCGGTCTCAAACGAGCTCAGTCCACCAGTCACCAGGCTCCCTGTGATGATGGGGCAGTGACACCTGTCCCCCGGGGCTGTCAGCTCAGATGCAACAGTGAACATGGGCATCAGCGGGGAAGGCTGGGGAAGGCTTCTGGGGAAGGCAGTGGGCGCGGGAGGAGTCCGCTGCCCCAGGCCATCTGGACCGCGAGGCGGCGGGCTCCGCTGGGGTGTGCGCACTGCGCCAGGCCCAGCCGCCCCCGCTGTCCACCTCCTGTGCAGAGACTGTCACTCAGCACCTGGCTGAACGTCACATCCCAGTCACCACGGGTGCAGGAACGGGGAGATGGCTCAGTGCGTTATTATTAATTACCCTTCTGGCGTTTAGAGTCCTTGAAAGTGTCTGCTTGTTTTCTGCTGAACCTGAAGCCGCCGTGCTCATCCTCTGCCAATGCTTTCTCTCCTCTGAGCCCAGCAAGATCATCTGAGTCCAGACGAGGCCAGAGAGTGTGTATGCAAAGCCCCATGCTCAGGACTGCAGGGCTGGGCAGGCTGTGTCAGAGATCGGTAGACGCTGCAATCGTACTTTTCATTATTCTTGGTACGCCAAACCACCAGGCCGGGCAGCCCTGCGCTCTGCTCCTCAGGCACGCAGAGCCCACCCCAGCCTCCCAGGAGGACGTGCAGCTTGTAAGACGTCTGTTTCAGGATTCGTCAGGCATCAGCCTGGTTGAAGATTGGGCAGACG